TATGATTTATTTTTGTGCAACTGTTTAGTTAACAGATTAAATGCTTATCAGTAGATGCTTGTCAAAAACCAATCAGAAGTTCCATATTTTTTGCATATATTTCAGCTTATTAATTGGGGTGATGTCTTTGTTCAACCTATGCTAAATTGCTAGAGATCTTTCCAGTTTCGAGAAGTGTTTGGAACTTCATTTTTGTCTGATGTAAGGAACACATTCTCGTTGCTAATGATCACAAAATTGAATACGGCTGATAAAATATGTATTTTGTGCCTTTTTCAAGTAATGCACACATTCCACAAAATAGCGAATCATAAAATTCTTCAAAGAAACCTTAGAAATTTGATGACGGTGTCATATATTTGAATCTGAATTTAAAATGATACAAAGACAAACGCATCCGGACGCAGTTGTACCAATTCATTTTTTAAAGAGATGGCTAACGGTAATTGCTGACTACTTCAGGCGAAATTTCCTCTTAAGAATGCTAGGCTTATGGTTTGCAGCAGAAAGTGATTAAGAAGGCACAGTGTAATGTTGAATACAGATGCATGTTCAATTTAATATAGGTCATAGATTAAACATTTACAACAGGACAATGCCGTCGTGGAGTGAGTTAGTGTGATGAATGGTGCCCGCTACATAAGAATGGGATGTGAAGGACCTCACAGAAAAAAAAACTGCTCAAGAAGTGAATGCGTTGGCAACATAGACCCCATTTTATTTTATTTTAAGAAAGCAATTATTTTCAATGTCCAAGAGCCAAACATAAAATTACTTTGATAAAATATGAATGAAGAAATGGAGTGTGATTTGGCATGTAATTTACCAGATTTACTATGGCAGGTTGCCTTCTCAAAAGGTCACTAGCAAGCATGGGGCTGTCCTATTGAGCTTTCATTATTGACCTCACGCTGCCACACTCTGAACATAATTTATGGACAATTCTTTTGATGTCAGTTAAATAAACACAACTCTTTAAAGTTAACTCTGTGGGAAGATTTGAACGCATCTATATAACTGAGGGTTTCAAGTGTTTTCTCCAGTTACTAGGCAAGAATAGAAATGAAGCAATTAGAGAAGAAAACAATTTTTTGATCTGCAGATTTTGTCCATTTATGCAGGACACAAAACTTCTAACTAACAGTGCAGACAAAAAGGTCATTTTACAGTACAACCATACCTCAGAGACAGTTTCCAATTTGGGTACGATTGGTAAAATGGGCACAAATTGCACTTACTTTAAAATGTGTTTTTTTGTCCCTGAGTTTCTACTCCAATCAGTTGAATATCAACCAAGGCAAAATCTGCCACAGGGTAATTAGGCAATCTTTTGAAATGTCAAACTTTAAAATACGTATTTTTTTTATAAACCTTATTAGTAGCATGAAGATCATCACTACTGCAAATGGGTTTATTACAAAATACATGCACAAAAATGATTGTTCTTGCTTCATGTTATTTATTGGGCATCAGCAAGTCAATGTGCGTGATTAAAATGTCATGATTCATGATTATGTACCTTTATTCTAGGTTTTCTCGTTTGGTGGTTGGGATGGTTGTTTGGTGGGTGGTGCAGCTAGTGGCATTATATAACTTTAGACGAAAACTGTTTTGTAAAATTCAGACAAATGAAACATCATTCAACACAAAATGGATGACTAATTGCCATGAAAGTTTGTCAGTTTAAAATGTTAGCAAGAGTCAAAACATTAACATTTTGAAAATGACAGTTTTTACTTGAAATTTAATTAAATGCCAGTTTTTGCAGATAATTAAGTTGCAAGATCATTTTTTTCAAATGTTAGCAATCTCCCACAAGTTGCGCATTCATAGTAGTTTGACAATTAAAGTAGCTTCTATCTAGGGTAACATGAGGCAATACTCAGTGAGGTACATTATAATAAAAACATGAGATACTTGAAATCATCAACCGATCTTGCAGGATCTGTGGAAAGAGAAAGAGTTAACTTATCAGGTTGTGACTCTTGTTATGATGAATGGTCACGACTTGAAAAGCTAATCCAGTTTGTACTCCACTGATACTGTTAGGCCTGCTAAATATTTCCAGCATTTTCTCTTTTCATTTTAGATTTCTAACATCCACAGTATTTTGCTTTCACATAAGACCACAAGATATAGGATCTGAATTTGGTCATCTGGCCTACTAAATCTGCCATGCCATTTGATCATGGCTCAGATGTTTCTCAACCCCATTCTCCTGCCTTGCCCATAACCCTTTATCTCCTTACGAATCAAGAACCTACCTAGTTCTGTCTTAAATACACTTAATGATGTAGCTTCTACAGCTTTCTGCTGCAGTGAGTTACAGAGATTAACCATCCTCTAGCTGAAGAAATTCCTCCTCATCTCAGTTCCAAAGGGGTCATCTCTTCACCGAGGGTGTGACCCTAGGTTCTAGTCTCTCCTAATAGTGGAAACATCTCCACGTCCACTCTATTCAGGCCTCTCTGTATTCTAAGCTTCAATAAGATCCCCCCTCATCTTTCTAAACATCAGTGAGTACAGACCCATAACCCTTAACCGCTCCTCATACAACAAGCCCTTCATCCCTAAGATCATTCTTGTAAACCTTCTCTGGAACCCCTCCAATGGCAGCACATCCTTCCTGAGATACAGGGCCCAATACTGCTCACATTATTCCAAAAGTGGTCTGACCACAGCATTATACAGCCTCAGCAGTACTTCTTTTGTATTCTCACCATCTTGAAATGAACACTAAATTGCATCTGCCTTCCTAACTGCCAACTCAAACTGCATGTTAACTCTAAGAGAACCATGAACTTGAACTCCCAAGTCCCTTTGTGTTTCAGATTTCCGAAGCCTTTCCCAGTTTAGAAAACCGTCTATGCGTCTAGTCTTTCTAAGATGCATAACCTCACAGTTTCCCACACTGTATTTCATCTGCCACTTCTTTGCCCACTCTCCTAGTCTGGCCAAGTCCTTCTGCAGCCTCCCCACTTTCTCAACACTGCCAGTCCCTCCACCTATCTTTACATCTTCTGCAAACTTAATAATAATGCCTTCAGTTCCTTCGTCCAGATCATTAATGTATAACGTGAATAGTTGTGTTCCCAACACTGACCCCTGCAGAACTCCACTAGTCACTGGCTGCCATCCTGAAAAAGACTCCTTTATCCCTACTCTCTGCCTTCTGCCAATCCTTTCTGCATGCCAGTAACTTTCCCCTAACACCATGGGCTCTCAGCTTATTTAGCAGCCTCCTGTGCAGCACCTTGTCAAAGGCCTTCTGGAAATCCAAATAGATCACACCCACTGAATCTCCTAACTTGGTTACTATCACCTCAAAGAATTCTATTAGATTTGTCAAGCATGACCTCCCTTTAATGAAACAATGCTGACTCAGTCCTATTTTACGAAGCATTTCCAAGTACTCTGCAGTCTCATCCTTAATAACAGACTCTAAAATGTTACCAACAGCTGAGGCCAGGCTAACCAGCCTACAATTTACTGTCTTCTGCCTTCCTCCTTCTTAAACAAAGGTGCTACATTAGCCATTTTCCAGTCCTCAGGAACTTCCCTGACTCTCGTGATTCCTGAAAGACCACCACCAATGCCTCCACAATCTCCTCCGCTATCTCCTTCAGAACCCTGGGGTGTAAACCATGTGGTCCCAGTGATTTATCCATCTTTCAGCTTCCCCAGCACCTTCTCCTTAGCGATAGCCACTACAGTTCACCTCTGCCCCTGACTCTCGAAGTTCTGGTTTGTTGCTGGTGTCTTCCACTGTGAAAATGGATGCAAACTTCCTATTCAGTTCCCCTGCCATTTCTTTGTTCTGCATTATTGCGTCCACCATGGAGTGATGCTGTCCCACTATGTGCTTGGCAAATTGCCTTTTTTGTCATTTGCAATTAAACTGTAATTGGAAATATTTTTAACAGAAATTACTTGTATCCTTATGCCTATTAAATGGTTTAACATTAGATGAAAACTGGTAGGAATGCTATAATATTAGAAACTTTATTGATGCAAATGGTTGAAGAAATTCCATGGCATTGAAGGCAAGTTTTATAATAGAGAATATGAAGAATGCATCGATGACACACTATAGGTACTGAGCACCACCATCAGTCTGATTAAGGTGTTGTGTAACTGAAAATAGTATTGATGAAAAGTTCTGAAAATTTATTAGGCTAAAATGACAAATTTAACTTTAACGAACTGAAACTGACCAGTAACCTTTCATTTAACTATTGAAGATGCAATATTCTTAGAGAGCAATGCACCAACTGAAATCTTTATGCCAACACAGGTACATCAAGCTATGTTCCATTGTACTGTATACATGCATTGAGTGGGAATAACCAAAATGATTGTAAATTAAGCTGAAAGTAAAAAAATTTACTTTGTGAAAGCTTGAAACTGAATTATGGGAATGCTAAATTGTAATCACAAATATCATTTTCCGTAGAGTAAACCTAAAACCCTGGAAATAAAATGTCATAATTTTCAACTCTACTACTTCAGAACATTTCAAGGTTTCTGCATCACATCAGAAATATTTCAGCTGGTCTGTATTTATCTGAAATTACTATTTTCTTTCACCATATAATTATAGGATCATTTATGTTATATGATGCTATGGATATTTGAAATACATTCCCTGATGATATATTGACAAATGTTGAAGCTAGTTAATCATGCTTCCCAGATTTCTCAATCAGTTAATTTAGGCAGTCCCTGAAGGATTTCTGTCAACCACATATTAAAAACTTTCTAGTATTTGCTACCTAAGCTCCATAGAATTCATAATACACCCAATTCCTCACATTACTGGGGACTGGAAATAGGGAGTCACTATGAGCTCTTTCCAAACATATTCCAAGGGCACTGCATCATATGTCCAGTTGTTTCTAGTCTGTGGGTAATCAGCAGTTTTCACTCTATTCAATTTTGCTTCATAATCAGTCAAAAGATTCAATTCAAAGACAACCATTGTAAAGAACTTCATTACGCTGTGTACTCAACACCAATCCTTTATTAAGACAGTCGAAAAAAACCTTTACATATTGGCAGAGAATTCTCCCCAGATATATTACTTATAGGAACCACTCAGCCAACAGCTACAGCTCCTTAATTTTTGTAGGTATCAAGTACCACAGTCTGAAATGAAATTATTTCAAGTCCTTAATTAATTTTAAAAACAAAATGAGAAAAAACATAATCGTTTCCCCTTCTGTCATAACCTAAATTTTTTCTGTTTCTCTAATTTAAATGTCTTTAATTTTCATTGATAAACGCATTAATAAAACCATGCTCAGAGCATGCTGGGATTTCAACTTTGATTGGAATCTGTTAAACAGAGATTACTCAAAAAACAGAAAATAACATTGGTTTAATTCTTCTGAATAATTGCAATAATTACACTCAAGAAAGACAGATTTATATTGGCAACTGTCCTTCTATTATAATTGCATAAAGTATGAAGAGGATATGTATTATATATGGAGTGGATATATATTTCATCCGTCAGTCATTTGTCCAAAATGATTTTTATACCTGAAATTTCACTTTGCACCACTTTAGGCTTGATTTCTAGCACTAGCAAACACTGCTAACAAAAATATTTCAGAAATAATTCTTCTGAATAATGGACAATGCTTTGGGATGAATTTACTGAAGTATGGGCCTATCAGCTCAGGATCTTTTGCAAGCATAATTCTCGTGTTGAACTAAAAAGCTCAGCTGCCTCATGACTTCAAAGGAAGTCTTTAAAAGGAGCTTGAAAAGCCATTATTCACCATCCTCATCTGTTGAATCTGTGTATAAAGTTACAGAATCATAAATGAAGTTGTAGAGTTTAATGTGTGGTTTTGAAAAGGAATAGGATCGGCACACTTTGCTGTAATATCGCTCCAAAAGCTTGTAGATTTGCCCTGAAAAGAAAAAAGTATACAGGTCAATGCTTCGTTTTAAGATTTGGGGTGCAAATGTGCACATTATTCAGCACTGAAGGGCTTAAAAAATACATGCAACATGCAATGGTCCAAATAAAGAGCCACAATGGATTGACTGGAATGTGTTGTAGCATTTAACAGAAGTTTTGCATTTTTAACTATGTTCACAATTTAAATGCTTTGCATGCAAAGGATTTTTTCCTATAAAGCAAAGAGAATTTGCTGTCGTTTAATTTCTGAAGAAACATCATATTGGAGTCGAAATGTTAACTCTGTATCTCTCTGCACAGATACTGCTGACCTGCTCAGTTTCTCCAGCATTGTGTGTTTGTTCTTGCTGTCATTCAGTCTATTTCTGTTTCTATATGCTAACAATTCTATAGAAACATTGCCTTACCAACAGTTTGCTCTTTTTCAATTAGGAATTTGTGCATCTCATATATCTCCATCATTAATTCTCGGTCTCCGAAGGTGAAATAAACCACATCTCGTCCTGCTTCTGCCGCTGCCATCATTTGCAATAAGGCTGCAACATATTCACATGAGTTTGTTAGTCTATCAAAAACATATCCTCTGAAGTACTGTGCTTAAACATAACCATATTTCTTTCAAATGCCAAACAATATTTTGTGGATTTGCAACTTTTTTTGCATTTTGAAACTGGCTTTTAGTATTATTTTGCGGTGGTCAGACTAACCATACATTTAACAAAAGTAATTTTCAAAACGACAAAGCCTGGCAGCTAATATATCAGGGCTCCTTCAATACAGAAATATTAGTATTTGGATCACAAATGAGGAAAACATCCTCCAAGATGCAGTCATTATTAAGCAAAGCCTGGGATAGTAATGAGCCCTTTGGGACCAGTGATGAACTCTAAAATGACACTACTACAGTCAAATCCCACATATAATGAATACTATTTTCCATGTTAAATTCTTTTTATATGTAGGCGTTTGTTGAATGTTAGGTTGACTTTTGCTTGACCTTTTGTTCCAAAAACGCATCATTTAGCAAAGCAAAATGACTGTAGTTATTTAATAAAAGTCAATTAATTGAAAGGTAGTTTTCCTCTGCATGAATTTCTAAACTAGGAATGATCAACATCACGATTTTCAGGCAATACGGCTCATACGTTGCCTATAATTCTGGCTTCTGATGCTATATTTTCTGATTATTTATATGTTAACTGATGAACCTGGATAACCATACCTGGATGCATCTGTGCCAAACACTGACAATGTGTACAGTAATTCTTATTCATTTAAACAGAACATGGAAAATGTCTCCAAGCAATTTCTGAATTGTTATTGTGAAGATTAAGTAACAGACTGCCTGTTATGCTGCGAGTGGTTTCTAACACTTGGACTAAGTTGAACTATTCATTAAGCACAGATCCAAAGATTGAATATTTAAACAGTGATGTACTCACCAATATGATTAGTAAATGGAATTCACAAATTATTTATTGTGAAGCCTTCTTCATAATGTATTAACTTCTGAAAATCACTTGATTATATGAAATTAACAAAATAGATGAACATCTTTTTAAGGACAATAATTCTTTTTCAAATGCTATCGAATTAAATGCCTCTCATTTTAAATGTTAACTCCTTGCATATGAGAAAAAAAATGTACACAATATCCTCTCTCATGACAAAAAACTTGCATCAATAGAGTATTTGAGATCTTCATAATGTCCCAAATATATCATAACTGAACAGACATTTTTGAAGTACAATCAGTATTATTTTGTAGGCAAGTTCCCATGAATGACCAAGCAATCTTTATCTCATGGCACTGTCGCCTGGATACATTCAGATAAAACTGGGTAACATTCGTTAAAGTTTGGAAACACATTTCCTTACATTTTAACGTGGCATCACCACCGAAAGCTCCACATCCCCAGTTCCCTGTGGCCACAGCTGAAAGATTCTTGGGATCTATGCCTGGTCGCACAAAACCACAGTAAGCCTGGAAAAAGGGTTTAAAAGAAAGGGTAAATATTAAAGAAAAGATTTAATGTAAAGCGTGCAAAGGAGACAAACTACTAATTAACAGATCTAATTTTTTTTTGATACAATACTAACGCCTCAGTCTGTAGGTTTGATCCAGGTCAAGGAAAGATTCCATGGTAGAAGATAATTGTTTAGAAGAGAAATTCTGTTCATTTTCATTCAATAGTTCAATGATTTGCTCACATACTGTTATTAAGCCTACAGTAACCCTTTTTTTTATTATGGACATTAACAAGATTTTCTTTCCAGCTGCTTCACAATTGTAACTGAATGATCACCATGTCACTGGACTGAGTTTCTTTGGCTGACTGCATATTCAACTAAATTAATGAACTACAAAAAGGTAAGCTTAGCTCCTTATTGACTATCTAGAGCCATTTAACTTTGCATTTTGTACTTCCAAGGAAAGGTATTAATTTTTTGATTCTGTTTACTGAAAGCCTATTGAGTGCATTGGGGATTAGCAGCAATCATCAAGTGAATATTTACACAGCAGCACAGATGTACTTACAAGACTTGAATGCACACTGGCTTTATATGCAGATCTTAAAAGTGCCCCAATGGGTTTCAGCTCAGCAGAAGTCACACTGTTGAAATATGTTATTTTCCCTTATGGATTATTAACTCCTCCTCTTGCTGTTTTTCTAAGTTGCACCTTGGTGCTTTCCTATAGTAACATGACTATAAGATTGGCAACTCGACATCATGGAGAAAATTGTGCTTTGATTCCCAAATGAGGAGTGTTTTGCAATTAGGTCCAAGCGAGCTGCACTGCTATGCTGTAGTTACTATTTCAAGTTACTTTTAACATGAATTGCTGGAAAAATGTGGAGAAGGATATAGAAGATAGAGAACTTGGGGGAATAAATAGTAACATCTTGAAAAATGTCCATACTACACAGGTGGTGGTCCTGGGCATCTTAAAACACACAAATGTAGATAAATTCCAGGACCTGATCAGGTGTACCCTAGAACTCTGTGGGAAACTAGGGAAGCGATTACTGGGCCCCTTGCTGAGATATTTGTATCAGTGATAGCCACAGGTGAGGGGCCAAAAGACTGGAGATTGGCTAACGTGGTGCCACTATTTAAGAAAGGTGCTAAGGAAATGCCAGGGAACTACAGACCGGTGAGCCTGACATCAGTGGTGGGCAAATTGTTGGAGGGAGTCCTGAGGGACAAGATTTACATGTATTTGGAAAGACTGATTAGGGATAGTCAACTTGGTTTTGAGCATGGGAAATTGTGCCTCACTAACTTGATTGAGTTTTTTGAAGAAGTAATGAAGAGGATTGATGAGGGCAAAGCGGCAAACGTGATCAATATGGACTTCATTAAGGCGCTCAACAAGATTCTGCATAGTAAACTGGTTAGCAAGGTTAAATCATACAGAATACGGGGAGAACTAGTGACCAGCAGTGTGCCACAGCGTTGCTGCTGGGTCCACTGTTTTTCATCATTAAATAAAAGATTTGGATGTGAACATGGGAGGTATGGTTAGTCAGTTTGCAGAGGACACCAAAATTGGAGGTGTAGTGGACAAGGAAGGAAGTTACCTCACAGTACAATGGGATATTGGGCTGAGGAGTGGCAGATGGAGTTTAATTTAGATAAATGTGAAGTGCTGCATTTTGGAAAGGCAAATCAGGGCAGGACTTATACACTTAATGGGAAAGGTCCTGGGGAATGTTGCTGAACAAACAGTGCAGGTTTATAATTCCTTGAAAGTGGAGTCCCATGTCAACAGGATAGAAAAGTGGCATTTGGTATGCTTGCCTTTATTAGTCACTGTATTGAGTATAGGAGTTGGGAGGTCATGTTGCAGTGGTACAAGACACTGGTTAGGCCACTTTTGGAATACTGCGTGCAATTCTGGTCTCCCTGTTATTAGAAGGATGTTATGAAACTTGAAAGTGTTCAGAAAAGATTTACAAGGATGTTGCTAGGCTTGGAGGGTTTGAGCTATAGGGAGAGGCTGAATAGGCTGGGGCTATTTTCCCTGAAGAGAATGCTGAGGGATGACCTTATAGAGGTTCATTAAATCATGAGGGGCATGGATGGAGTGACTAGACAAGATCTTTTCCCCGGGGTGGGGGAGTCCAAAACTAGAGGGCATTGGTATAAGGTGAGAGGGGAAAGATTTAAAAGGGACCTAAGAGGCAAAGTTTGCATGCAGAGGTGGTGCACGTATGGAATAAGCTGCCAGAGGAAATGGTGGAGACTGGTACAATTACAACATTTAAAAGGCATACGGATGGTTATATGAATAGGAAGGGTTTAGAGGGATATGGGGCAAATGGGACTAGATTAATTTAGGATATCTGGTCGGTTTGGATGATTTGGACCGAAGGATCTGTTTCTATGCCGTACAGCTCAAAGACTCTATATTGGACATGATGAACGCAGGATGACTATGATGACAGAGTAATTGAGTTCATAGAGATATAAAGCACTGAAGAATGCTATACCATTTTATGTGACAGATAATTCAGTGCCCTTTACCGAAATTCATACATTGGACATTGAAGGATTTTATAGAATCATAGAGTTGTACAGCACAGAAACATACATTCTGGTCCAACTGGCCCGTGCTGACCAGATATCCTAAATTAATCTAGTTCCATTTGCCTCTAAACCCTTCCTATTCATGTACCCATCCAGATGATTTTTAAATGTTGTAATTGTACCAATCTCCACCACTTTCTCTGGCAGCTCATTCCATACATACACCATCCTCTGCGTGAAAACATTGTCCCTTAGGTCCCTTTTAAATCTTTCACCTCTCACCTTAAATCTATGCCCCTCTAGTTTTGGATAGTCCTACCCTGCAAAAAAGACCTTGGCTATTCACTCTCATGATTTCATAAACCTCTATAAGGTCACCTCTCAGCCTCTGACACTCCAGAGAAAACAGCTCAAAACCTCCAACCCTGGCAACATCCTTATGTTTTCTTTAATGAAGGTCTTTCCACATTTTTGTTATATATTTAAACACACGCTCAGGATGCTGTCTTGTTAGGGTCTGTAACTTTGAAAATATAAGTTGATTTTACTCATATTTTACTTCAGCTCCAGTAGGCTACTGCATCATTAGCACTGCACAAGTCCTGGTTAAGTACTGGTACTGGTAAAGGCTATAGAGATTGGAGCCATGTAAGGACAGTTCATTTGTTTCCCTGGAGTACAATTTTGAAGCAGATGAATTTTTATGACAACCTGGCAGCTTTTTAGATTACTTCAACTGATAGCAGCCTTTTCTTTTTTTTAATACATTAAAAAATCAATTTCAGTTCTTGAAATGGTATGGTGGGATTTCAACTCATGCCCTTCAGTTGTGAATTCAAGCTTCTGAATTTTTAGTGCAGTAACACAAGGACCAGACCTCCACAATGCTCTGTGAAACCCCTGTAGTTCAGTTAACAGAAAATGTAAATGGGAAATAGAAAGCAGTACTTTCCAAATGAGAATAAAACTGGAAGGGAATGCAGTCCAGAAAAAGTTCACTCAATTGATTACGGCAATGGAGAGATTTTATAACAGAGTGTGCAGATTAGGCCTGTACTCATTGAAGTTTGGAAGTAAGAGTGGAGACTTTATTGAAAATACTAAGTTCTTACTGGGCTTCGTGGTGTAAATGTGGACAGGTTGTTTCCCCTGTGGGATGGTCTAAGACCAGAAAGCATAATCTCACCCATTTAAGAAAAGAGATGAGCTGATTTTTTTTTTACTGTGTGAGATTTGTTAAAGTAATTTGTCATTCAGTATGTTGGAGCATCCTGAAGATATTAGTAGTATTTTTTCACCTAAACTGTTTTGTTTCTTTCTGAATTTGTGCAATACTCGTGAAAGAAAGGTGGAAAGGTAAAGAAACTTTGATTTTGTGGTGGCGGTGGGGAGTGCAAAGACGACATTTTAGGATTAGCCAAAGTAGATTAGCTGAACTAAACTTAAATTTCAATTTATGAGAGATGGTTCTGTGAAATAATTTATGAAAGCACAGTGAAGTGTGATTAAAAATTATGGATTTTTAACTGAAAAGCATTACTTAAGGATAAAATGAACCTCAGAAAGCTTACCAACAAGATAGGCAGTACTTGTACTCAAGCTACAGATGTACAATTTATTGCTGCAGAAAGTACATTTTAAGTATATTGCAAACATATGTATCTGAACATAATTTAATAAAGTCAACTGCTTTTAATTTAGAGTGTGCAAGAAAGTTTGAAATCTCAGCAAAAATTTCAATTCTTGCATTTACTTATCTTACATACGCAACAGAGACAATAGTTTTTAAAATAGTGCATTTTGTGCAGTCAAATATATGTAGATTTTACTCATTCTATGTTATTTAAATTGCCAAGAATTTGCAGTCAATAAATTACATTGCTGGATCATAGATCAGCATTCATTATAAACATTTTCTTCATTGATATATGTAGGTACAATGCAATTTATTTTTGGCTGGGCTTATCTCTCACAAAAATTGCTTGTCATATTTGTTCCATGGCAAATATACAACGTTGTAATAGTATATGTTCCAGACTGATTCAATTGCCAAAGATATACGTCAGAGCTTAATAGCATCGGAATGGAGACAGGTTTCTTGTGTGCTTATACATTTTCTCATAGAAGTAACTCAATCCAGTTATAATAAATTGCTCTACAGCTAGAGCAGCAGCAGTCTTTAAATCACAAGAGAAATAGCTTCAGAGCCTCATATAAATCCAAAGGCACAAATTCAAAAACACAGAATGGTTTAGATTTGAGAGGTTTGGTAGCCAGTACTGTATTAATTCTATTAATAAGGTGTTACATGGACTTCCAAAAAAAGTAGATTTCAGCAGCAACAAATACCAACAACGTATAACTGTATATCACCACTAAAGTAACAGATCCTCCATGGGCACTTAATTTAAAACAAAATAAAAATTGAAAGGTGTTAAAAACAGACAAAAT